TTTCTGTGAAATGTCTAATTAGCCAGTTCTTTCCACATTCAAAATTCAGGATGCTGGTTTTTATTATACCAACCTTTGAGAGCACAGGACGCATGAGCCTGGGTAGAGGCAGCTAGAGGACTTCAGAGTCTTAACCTCGCGCCGACCCAAGGCTCCCTTTCTGCCATATGTGTTTTGTAATCCTTTCTTGGAAAACATGAAGCAAATTCAGAATGAACCCTCATACTCAACAAGCAAAACTAGATCAGAAAATGGAAGTAGTTGTATTAGTCAGTGCTGGGTAACAAACCTCAGGAACTGGTAAAAGTGAGCACTGGTTTCTCATAACTAGGGTTATGAACGAGAACACTTCTGCTAGAGCGACTGCACTGTGCGACCCTCTGCATCCTCCCAGCCCGTAAGAGGCCGGCTTTGAGCTGGTCCTGCGTCGCCCTGCCCAGTTTCACTGGCTGGAATTTCACAAACTCCAAGAACAGAGAAAGATGCTGAGTTATGCTAGTGCATGTGCACAGGCATGAATGAAGAAATGGCCCACTGCAGCACACAACGTCTGTCTGCGCTCTATGCGCTACCATCCAGTTCACAAGCTTTGGGCAAAGGGCTGGAGATTGAAACACACAAAGACACATAGACAGAGAGACAGAAACATGAACCTCTAGTCACTGGCAAGAAGTCCTTAATTCAATAGCACCATGGAGGCTTATATACCAACACGGTCAGGTGGGTCAACAGGTGAAAACCTTATCCTCTGATCCTCAAGGAAACACGTGCTCGTGAAGTAGAGTTGGTAAACAAACTTGACACAGCTTTCAGTAGCTCAAATCAGAAGGAAAGTAAAGGTCACTAGCAGGGGAGAGCAGCTGGAGGCCAGGACTCCAAATGGTCCCAACAGTTTACTAACTGTTGAACGCACAAGTGAACTATTATGAGGCCCTCGGGACCCAGAACCCATGCCAGTACCATTCTAGATGCAGCTGGAACCGTGCAGCGTTTTGCTTGCTGTTTTCTGCTGTCTTGATCATGTACCACAAGCTAGATGGCATAAACAATTCAATATATTTCTCGAGCCTGGAAGCCAAAACTCTATAATGAAGGTGTTGGCAGGACTGGTCCCTTCTGAGGACTGGCAACAAAAATATGTCCCATGCCTCATCCTTAGCTTCTGGTGCTTTTATGCTCTTACTGGTTTTCCTCCCTTGGCATACAGATCTATCACCCCAGTGTGACCCAAACCAGCAGGAAGAACCTTGAAGGGCAAGGTGTTGAGGGAGGGCTGAAGATGAGAAATAAAGAGACAAAAGCAACAGCTGGGCCAGGAAGTCTTGTGTAAGCTGATGACTTAAGCCAAGGAAGTTTATTTACAGCATCATAGACACTATTTGCAGGGCTCAGGGATGACCGACATCAGCAGAGACCTAAATCAGACAATGCTGGCCAAGAGAACATGGGATACAGGGACACCTCAGATACAGTTGCCTTGGGACTGATAACCACGGCATGGGGCAAGGGGATAGAGTTGAGTTCCCAGAAACTGCACCAGTGACTCCTATGAGACCCTGGCTCCAGTGTCAAACAGGTCTTGCTGCGTGCGTTCTTGAACAAGGACACACAAATAGTTTTCCTTTGTCCTTTACTTAAGGACTCTAAGAAAGGCCTGGATGGATCTGGCTCCTTACACCAACATCTTACACTATCTTCAGAAAAATGTTCTGTCTTCCTCTGTTGCCCCTCTCATATTTATTCAAATTACCCCATTTCATAAGTAAGCCAGCTCATACCGCATTACCAGATCATTCTCCAGTATGACGTTAGCACAATTATGTCAGCTACGATCCTATTTCTAAATAAAGTAACAGTCTTATGTTTTAGGGATTAAGAGCTTAAAGTTGCTAATTTTACGTGTTAACTAGGGTACAGGATGTCCAGGCAGAGCCTTAAACCCTGCTTCTTCCTTCTCAGATTCTATTCTTCCAGGGCATCCTACCAGCAAATAAGCAGTATTTATCTTGAGAATTTCAACTCCGAACTGTCAAAGGGCTTTGGTTATGTAGCTGCACATTTACACAGCTGTGCCACGGGTCACTGGAAAGAGTTCACCTTCATCGTCTGCTTCCCACGTACCCCATTTCAGGGGATCGTTACCAATTCAGAACTTAGTTTGCTTTTCAGCAGGGCATGAAATCCCAGCACTCTAGTGGCAGAAGCAAATAGACCTTTGTGAGTTCAAGACCAGCCTGGTCTACACAGTGAGTCCCAGGACTATGTGGAGTTAGCCTGTCTCAAAATCAAGAATGAAAAACTAGCTTGCTTCTTAATGGCTGGTGCTTTAGTCCTTGGATTTTTTTTAAAATTAGGATAATGTTTTCTTTAAGATATTATAAAACAAGGCTTTCTATCCTGGCAACACTGTAAGTCAGAGGGGGTGCTTCTTCTTATGTTACCTCACCGATTGGAAGAGCATCTGTGTCCGGAGAGCCCTTCAAGATCTCCGACCCCCTACAAGAGGGGGCCTTATTCTCCAGTATTTTAGGGATTCCCCCACTTAGATGTGAAAAACAGTGTGTGCATGAGATAGGGGCAGCAATTATTCAGGTTATCTATATTCCAGAAAGCTTTGCCACTGACATACAGAACGTAGTTACTCAAATTGAGGAGACTGGCAAGATTAGACAGCTCACCTGCAGGTATTGTAGCCTTATACACCACAAGTGTGAGCAGCCTTAATATACACCACAAGTGTGAGCAGCCTTAATATACACCACAAGTGTGAGCAGCCTTCTTCAACTAGCTTGGAAATCTTACCCAGCTGACGTAACGACAGTTCTCGAGTCCTGGCCCTGGAAGTCAGCCCTGCTGCCTGCCTGCTCCGAATTTGTTCAAAGCACTCTGCACCTGGGGATGAGCACAAGAAAGTGCTGGAAGATTTTTTCTCCTGATTCTGCATCATCATTCCTCAACCCTCAGGCTTTGTTCAGCCACCAAGCACATCTAGGTGTTCACCATGGAGTCACCCTGGTGACCAAGCACGTCCAGGTGTCCACCATGAAGTCACTCTGGTGACCATGCATGTCCAGGTGTCCACCACGAAGTCACTAAGGTGGCCACGCACGTCTAGGTGTTCACCACGGAGTCACTAAGGTGACCATGCACGTCCAGGTGTCCACCACAGAGTCACTAAGATGACCGCAGACATCCAGGTGTCTACCACAGAGCCAACCTGGTGACCACGCACATCCAGGTGTTCTACCAAGGAGTCATTTTGGTGACCTCCTTCATGGGATTTTCTGAGTCTCATGTTCCCATCAGAAGCAAGAAAGAGATTTGCCTAAAATATATAAAAAAAATTGCATGTTGAAAGGATGTGAGGAGCTACTTTACCTGGTTTCTCAGTTCTAAATGAAGAAACTGAAGTCCTTGAAGACAAAAGGACTTGGTAAAGACACATCTTCTGTGGGACAATGGTCTGCACCCTGTCATTTGTATTTTAAATAAACGCTAATTGGCCAGTAGCCAAGTAGAGAATATAGGCAGGGTGACCAGGCAGGAAGTAGAGGCAGGGCAATGATAATTCTGGGAAGAGGGAAATTTCATTCTGAGGAAGCCAGACACAGAGCAAGCAAGATGTGACTGCCTCACTGAAAAGGTACCAAGCCACATGGCTAACACAGACAAGAATTATGGGCTAATATAAGTTTTAAGAGTTAATAAGAAGTCTGAGATACTAGGCCAATCAGCTTATAATTAATGTAGACCTCTGTGTGATTCTTTGGGACTTAATGGCTGTAGGGCCAGGTGGGGCAGAAATCTCTGTCAACATACATCCATGTATGTTGTTTTTCATACCCTAGCTATATAAGGAAGAGAATTGCACTGTTTACCTGTGTCATTCACATTACCTCTACCCCTAAGTAGGAAAAATAATTACCCAAATATGCAAACCAGCATAGTAGATAATAGCTCTTCCAGTACGTGCAATCCATTTCTCTACGGCCACGCATGTTTCTGCAAGGTAGCAATTAGGTGTGGTATCTTCAGTTAAGGTATTTGGGTAATCTGGTTGGCTAAAAGGAATATTGATTGCTTGATCTAGATGTTGCTAGCCAACCACAAGCTGTCCTGGCCAGCCACCACCAACAGTTTAGAACTCTCAAGCTCAACGAGGGACCTTCTCTCAGTGACATTTCTATTAAGAGCATTGTACAGACACTTACAAGAAAGGAAAAATGAAAGCTGAAAGGGCTGAGCTGACTTTGTGAGTGAAGATGCGTACTGCCAAGACAGATCATCTGGGTTCGATTCCCAGAACCCACATGATGGAAGGAGAGAACTGAATCCTGCAAGTTGTCCTCTGACTTCTAAACAAGCAAGTGTACACACCCCTCCTGCACATCTACTAGATAAAATAAAATGCAATAAAAATATTTTTAAAACACTTAAAATGCACCTTTGAAATATATCAGCTTGTAAGTAATTTTAAGACTGAAGTGAGGTACAGGGATATGACATATTTGCGCTGTTCCCTGTATATTCCTAAGGTTTCCTATTCCTTTACACAGAACATGTTCACTGAATAAACCAATCAACTAATGAAAGCATTCTCTATTACAGGAATCTGCAATAATAGCAAATATGTTACCTCCAATTCCCGTTGGCTTGGAATTCCCCACCGCAATTAACATGCAGCTTCGTTTCTGTGCATACCCATCTCTATAGCGAAAAGGGAGAGCTAGAAAAGCTAGGGATGCCACTGTTCTCATGGCTGCATCTGGGTCTCCCAGCAATCCTGCTGCTCACATGTCTCTCCTTGTCTGTAGAACACTGCACAGCCTCAGAGAATGCTCATAGGGGAAGCAGCAGAAGTATGTAGAGCCACCTCAGAGGGAGCTCTCCGCTTCCAGGAATAAAGTCACACATTGACAGGTGCTTCCTGTTTTCTCAAACACCTTGCCCATCTTTTGCACAACAAGCAACAGTTCAATCTGCAAGCCGTGACCCCCACAGGAAGCTGCCCGCAAGCTCAGGTAGTTCTTCAGGCTCTTAAGAAGTCTTGAACATTCTTGAGAAACGCCAACAAAAAGTGCAGTCATCTGTGAAGAAACAGGTCCGGAGGAAAAACGCCTTGGACTAGCACCGAAAGGGTGAGAATACTTTGCCTTGAGAGAGGTTTTTGCAAAGTACATTTTTAAAGCAAATAAATGTGTATTATTTAAATTTAGTGTTACCATGGTTGGAATTAAGAGGACGGACTGCAAGTGGGTGATGTTTGTCATGCTTCCGATAGGAGGTGGAAGGGAGGGGAAAAGAGAAGGCGTAGATCTCCTAGGAAGGGGCCAAGGGGTAGGATGGGCCAGGTCAAGTCAGGGAAAGGGATTGCTCAAAAGATGTGCTTGTTTCTGGAAGCTCACATACCCTCCCTGGTATTTCAAAAATAATCTGGAAATAAGTACAGAGCACCTCTATCCAGCTCTTTTAGTAAGCTTTAGCTGAGCAATTCTAGCAGCCTAACCTCAGGGAAGCTTGGACTGGGCCTGACTGGGGCTTTGTAGTCAGTTTGCAAAGGGATCTAGTTAAAGATGTCCTTTATGGCAATGACGCTAACTCCACACCATAGTTCTTGGACAAGCGACTTACCTTTTTAATAATAGAATAATGACAGGGGAAATTGTAGTTTCTGATAATGCTATAGGACTAGCTCCAGTAAGTGGTCTTTTGTTTGCTTTTGCTGTGTTCTATTTTTCCAATCCATATTGCCTAATGAAGGGAAATTATATGAACTTTTGTTTAGAAAATTGAAATTAAATTAAAATCAATTTCCTTAAAGTAAACTTACCCATTGGCTGATGAAAGGGATACAGGGTAGAAGTCATCTCTCCTGGATTCAAACATGTCTCTGTGACATTCAGCCATCTGAAAAAGCTCCCATAAACCCCATTAAGACCACCCGTTGCAGTGGATCAATGGGAGCTGTTAAGAATAATTGGTTTCATTTTGCTTATAGCCACAAAACTAGAAATACAAACCCAGGGATCATCTTCCAGGATAAACAGAAGCCTTCTGATCCTCACTTCAGGAAACCTTTGACATAACAGGATTTGAAAAACGTTCATGATTATTTGTTATTGTCATTATTATTTGAAGTTGCAAATTGTGTACACAGTGTTTCATCCTCTTTGACCTCTCTTATGTGTTATGGTCAGTTTGTCACATGGTGGTGCATGATTATTTCATATGGCCATGTGTGATTTTCTATCATTGTATTGGTACTTGGGTTTTAGGAAGACTCAGGAATAAAGATAGTAAGAAAGGTACCACTGGCTCTCTAAGCTGATTCTGCGAAGACGAGACATTGGGTATTCTTCCATGGATTAGAAAGAGTTTGGTGGCAGAGGGAGGGAGGTCATGTGCACCCCAGCTCCTGGCATAAGCTTCCTCCCCTGAGAGTTGCCTCAATCCAAACTTCACTTTGGAGAAAACCCACCAAACAATGACCCTTCCCCATGGAAAACAATGACCCTTCCCCATGAAAGGTCGGGACCACTCCCACAGGCTATTTAAACTGCCCTCCAGAGCAAGAACACATGGTCTCTGGGTTTCATGTGATCTCCCTTTTCTCTCTCTTACCCTCTCCATGTTTCCTCGGGGCTACCCAGGAGCGTTCCATTAAACATGGGAATCTTTAATTAGGTTTGACTCGGTCTGATTGGGATTATTTGCGCAGGCTGAGAGGCTCATCTAAGAGAAAATACCTAACAGAAAGATGTGGACTGAGCTGGGAAATGGGTAAAAGCTGAGAAGGTAGAGAGAGAGGAGAAGTTCACAGGTGACAGCGAGATACTGGGTACTGTATAAAAATGGCCGAACCAAACAACGTTTGAGTGTGCCGCAAAGCCCTCTCCTTGTGCCGTAGGAAGGGGGGTGATGATGAATGCTTGCAGAAGAGGCTTAGAAACTGACAGGTTGATACTACCTGCCAACCAGCAAAGCTGCAGCCTCCTACTCCCTTTCTCTGGCCCCTGACCTCATTCTCTCAGTTTCCCCCAGTCTGTCCTGGTGGAGGAGGGTCATCTGGCTATGTGTGTCTTTCATTGGTTAATAAAGAAACTGCCTTGGCCCTTTGATAGGACAGAAAATTAGGTAGGCGGAGTAAACAGAACAGAATGCTGGGAGGAAGAAGGCAGTGAGGCAGTCGCCATGATTCTCCTCTCCGAGACAGACGCAGGTTAGGACCTCTCCCGGTAAGCCATGACCTTGTGGTGGTATACAGATTATTAGATATGGGTTAATCAATATGTAAGAGGTAGCCAATAAGAGGCTACAGATAATGGGCCAGGCAGTGTTTAAATGAATACAGTTTCCATGTAATTATTTCGGGTAAAGCTAGCCGGGCGGTGGGAAGCAACCCGCCACTCCTTCTACAGAGTGGCGCTCCAACGTGGTAACTAAATCCACTTAAAAACCTGAGAGAGCTTAAAAATAAGGAAAAGAGAATTTAACACAGATTTTGCTGCTTGCTAGGGCGTGCTGTAGAGAGATTTCCTGTTTCAACATTAGCCTCCATGTCAAGCCCAGCTCCAGGGCCATCTTTCCAGACGCTTATCCCACAGATGCACTGTGGATAAAAGAACTCCAAATCTTTTAAGCCCCAACTAGATTGCATAGGAAAATTCTGAAAAGCAATGACAAAGCCAGAGCAACAGCATTTCAAATATACAGTAATTGTGCCAATTGTGTATAATTTAGACAAAGCCATGGTTGCAGTTTAGAGATGTTAGCCTAGAACCATAAGAGAGCAGACTGATTTCTCTTATGCTTTATTGATTTCTGACTTTACTGCAGTCAAGCCCTCCCTGATTCCCTATGCCAGATGTGGACACTCCCCTGGCCTCCTGATCAAAAGAGCTCCCCTGTCCATCCATGTCTCCATGCTGAGCATTAGCAGAGGCGGGACACACTGGCCTTAAAGTTTCATGCTTAACACTCTCTGTGCTAAAAAGAGATTAGAACACTCTCATTCAGTATCTGTCCTTTTCAGTTCCTGGTATCCCGAGGGACAGCAAGGGCGCAGAATCATGTTTTCTGGCTTTAAAGCAGTGAAACCCCACAGTCCCACCTTCTTCACGCCGTTGGAGGGGAATCGTGGGTTAGCATCTGCAGTGCTGGGGAATTAGTACACAGTGAACCCCCACAGTCCTGCCTTCCTCACGCCGTTGGAGGGGAAGCATGGGTTAGCATCTGCAGTGCTGGGGAATGTACTATTACACAGTGAACCTCCACAGTCCCGCCTTCCTCGTGCCATTGGACTTCTTCGAATCTTGTTCTTCTGTGAAATCATCTCCAATCTACCTTTATTCGTATGCTCTAATGCCAGCGCCCCGATTCTGTTACCAGCTCTTTATCGCTGTATTACATGGCCTCCTGGCTGTCCAATTCTTATTCCTACATTCACTAGACATTTATTTAAAAGCCAATTGTGCACTGAGCGGTTTTCCAGATGGGAACAAATGAGCCTTTGGGACAATAGATACATGAAGAAGGCAATACAATTTGTGCAGACTGTGAGAGGAAGTCACCTGCAGGGTTCACTGGTGGGACAAACAAGGAAGAGGTCAGATGCATCTCCTAGTGTGGGAAATAGGACAAATGGGCATGGACTTGGACCCAGAGCAGCTGGGACTCCAATTCCATTCCTGCCTCCTCTGAGCTCTAGGGCCTCAGCAAGTTTATTTTCCTTGTTGGTGTCTTTGTTCTTCTACACCTATACTTCAAGCACAGAAAAAAAGGATATTCAGAATGAAATAAATATTTTAATATGTATTGTTAACACATATTTAGTATGTATTCTAGCACTGTTTTTCCTAGATCTGCATTGCATCTTCATCACCACCTCCTCTCCTTCCAAGTCCTCTCATGCCCCCACTCTCCCTCCCAAATCAATAACTTCTTAATTATTGTTGTTACATGTTCACACAAATGTGCATGCACGTGAGCATGTGCACACACACAAATGAGGTCATTTAGCATTCTTCATATGTGCAATATCTGGAGATGACCACGGGTTAGACAAATTACATAGTTAGCATAATTATTCATATTTTTTCATGACTACATTTCACAAGGTTTAAGCTTGTTATACACCACCTATTGACTCTACTCTCTTCCTCCATATTTCTCCTCCAGAGAAAATTTGATATTCATCACTCCCATATTCCCATGTTTATATTCCTTTGGTATCTACAAATAACAGTAGTAGTATTCATTTCTAAGCCTTGTCAAAGTACTCTGAGATTTTGGACTTATCTTCATATCTTACTTTGATCATTCAACATTCATTTTTTGTTAAATGTCCATGCAGATACAAGTAATTTTCACTTTCTTCGATACAGTAGAGTAGACCACTGAATGCTTATTCCAAAATATATCCATCCTTTATCTTGTGATAGTCACTTGTGTGTTCCCAATGTTCCTCTATGTATAACCGTGTCCTAGGGCTTCTACTTGTAAAAAACACCATGACCAAAAGCAACTTGGGGAGAAAAGAGTTTATTCCAGCTTATATAACCTGATAACAGCCCATCATGATGGGAAGTCAGGGCAGGAATTCGAGACAGGACCCTGGAGGTAGGAGACTGTTTACTGACTTGTTCTCTGTGACTGATGCAGTTTGCTTACTTATATACACCTTGACCAGCACCCAGAGCAGCAACATCCATGATGGAACGGGTCCTCAAAAACTAATCACTCATTAAGAAAATGCCACACAGCCGGGCGGTGGTGGTGCACACCTTTAATCCCAGCACTCGGGAGGCAGAGGCAGGCAGAGCTCTATGAGTTCAAGGCCAGCCTGGTCTACAAGAGCTAGTTCCAGAGCAGGCCCCAAAGCTACAGAGAAACACTGTCTCAAAAACCAAAACAAAGCAAAAACAAAAGAAGAAAAAATGCCATACAGGTTTTCTCACATACCAATCTGGTGGCAGCATTTTCTCAATTGGGATTCCCTCTTCCCAAACAACTCTAGCTTGTATCAAGTTGACATAAAACTAGCTAGTACAAACAGTGTTGCAATAATGCTTTTGGAGGTATCAAATGGCCTTTAGATCTATTACAGAATAGATACACTTTAAACTGCACAAGATACTGT